TTTCATGAAAAAAAAATTATTTTTGTTTTTTACGGTTACTTGGTGAATACAAAGATAATCATTTAAAATTTAAAACAATATAGTTTTCTTAGTCGAAAAAAAATGAGTTCAGAGCCCAACTCAATCGCTCGTCAATTTTCAAAGATATTTTAACTTTCAATCACATCGTATGTATTGTCGAGACAAACTCAATTTATTTAATTTTAAGACCAAATTAGAAATTCCTACCATGATCTTAGGCCAATCAATTTTTTCCTAACTAGATTTAGGCAGAAGTCAATATCCATCATTATTGGTTGATAAATAATAAAAATATATACTTATCAATAATTTGAATACCTAATGAATTTTATACTGTTTACGTAGAAAGTCTAGTTGTTTTTGTTTCAACTGTAATATTGATACTATTTTAAGTTTTATATGAACTGTGATTCATACTACAGAGTGAAACGCTTATTTCTTTGTAAACTAAATATATGGCGATTCCTCTAACTATTCAATTCTCTGATTATTTCTATCAAACATGCTGACTTATATAACATTAAAACTTTAATATTTCTACCAAGTTTATGAATGGAACTTATTTTTAATTTAGGCTATGATGATCATGTACCTGATATTGCTTTTTCCAGAATTATCGGCCATTATTCAAATGATGAATTGACGATGCCCCAAAAATAGAAAAGAAAGCTTTTTTTGTTGACACGTTTTACATAGATTTATAAGTACTGTAATCATTTCTGTAGTAATTAGCATGTTTTTTTCCAGTTTTATAAATTATGCGTTTATAGCCACCGTACGAATATGTGTTGATTGTACAAACATCAAAAATTTCATGAAATAGGAGATATTACTTTATTTTATTATTATTTGACTTCGTTGTAAGCCATTACCCTCTACTAATATCAAACATATCAAATCCCTTTAAACGTTAATCCAACTAAAATTTTGCTGTCGATGTTATGTTTATACTATCACTTATAATTTCTTACAATATGTTTATGCATAAGCCTTGTACGGAATAATTTATTTAATCATAACCCATACATTACAAGCCACTAGACTACTGTTATTACTCATTTTGGTTCCTAATAATTAAAAATATAGAAATTTCAAGAAAGATCTAAGTAACATTCATTTCTAGTATGGGTAGGTCAACAGTTGCATCTACTTTTCCTAACCCAATAGATTATCTGTCCCAATTATGGACCCTGTCCCTATCGTGGACCAATTATCACATTATTAACGATAAGTTAAACGAGTGTTTCAATAGCACAATGAATTATTTTTTAAGTTGTTAGTTTCTCTCTAATTCACCATAATAATGACAAATAATAGCATTTAAATAATGTTATATCATTAAAATAATATATTAAAAAGTCACACAACGCTTTTGACTATTTTCTTCATCATACCTTGTTGAAAACCGTAAGATACTCATATTTTTGAAATGCTGTATAAAAAATTAGGAGTATTATTTGAACTCAAAAAATTGTTTAATATATCAATAAGAGTTTAAGAAAAATAATAAAAACAAATTATACTTCTAAAAAGTATATTTATATACATTATTAGAGGGTCCACAATACAGCCATGATTATCGGCCCTGTCTCTATTATGGACCCTTTATTCCGCCAGTATTGAGTGCACACGTAACCTTTAACTTCATAACTTCGAGCTGTTGTTTTCATTCTAAAAGTTAAGAAAGAACAACAAAAAATGCCTCTTAAAAAACGCACCAAGAAGACTAAACAACCAAAACAAAGTCACAAAAAATATAAGATCATTATGATAAAAAAAAGTAATAGTAATTATCACAAAATTAGTTTTATATAAAAATTTGTTCTTAAAAACTTATCTCAAAAAGTGCCTAGTCATATATTTTGTTAAAAGTGTGAGAAGTACTTATAAATGAATCTCAAATGTTTATTTAATTACATACAAATATTTTTTTACATTATGGACAGGGTCCATAATTGGGGGGTCCACATTATGGGCAGGGTCCGTAATAGGGGGGTCCACGATAGGTTCAAAGTCCATCGAGGGGGTCCGTAATACGGACAAAATTTTTTTTTCTTGTTTCATCATTAAAATAAAAATAACAAAACTTTTGATAAAAAAAAAATTTGATGTTGTTAAAAAAGAATCAAACGACTTATACGTAATGATACAAGGTGTAGTTCTATTGACCGTTAGACACAAAATAAAGTTGAGCTCGAAATTTTTCTTAAAGGGTCCATAATTGGGACAGATACCCCTAGCCCTTTTCCCAAACAATCACTTTTCAGAACGGTTATTTTCCCGAATTATTGCCCTCCAGAATAAAGAATTTCCGAACAGCATTTTTTGAATGATCATTTCCGTAACGATAAATAGTCATACCAAACGGTCATCTTCTCAATCTTTTTTAAATTAATTGATGTTTGAATTAAAACAAATCTCTATACTAAGATGTCTATGTTCGTCCAAAGCTGTGTAAAAATTCTAGTCAGGACCATGGCAGAGGCGGTCGTACACTACAAGTATTATTTAATGACACTTTGATAGCCCAAAGTCAAGTGTGATCGACCGTAAGCCACCTGTCTCTCGGGAACCAATTTGACTGGATGTCTCAGGGCCTCGGGAACCAATTTGTCTATATATCCGATGACTCGATTGACGGCGGGAACCAATTTGACTTTTTTAATAATTTTTGAAACCAACTTGTGCATAGCCATGCATAAAGGTCGGCCTCATTGGAGAAAGCGGGACAGAAGCTCCCTTTACACTTTCTAAATAAATGATTAACTTATTCAAAATAAGATGTAGTATGCCTAAAATGTTATAGGCATCGTAAACTGTATGCTATATGATGCGGAATTAAAATAAATATTTAAAAAAAAAAACTTAAATGGGACACCAAGCAAATAGATTGATCAATCAGCTCATTGTACTAATACATTAATCAAGCAAGAACATTATTTTACTTAATTTTTTTCTAATCATGCAAATTAGCTAACTAAACGGCTACACTCATCGAATTAAGTCAAGTGGATTAATTTACACGTCCGTGTTCTTAGAACTTGAAAACCTAACTCGACCGTAATCCAATTTACTCTACTACTATTTTTGAAATAATCCTTTAATTAAATTAATCCAAACTCATTCACAGTTTCTTAACCTACTTGTGTTTGTTATCAGTTGATACCTCCGTAATCGGATAAACTGTTTCATTACAAAACTGACAAAACAGAATTCATAATCTTGACACATTGAAAAAGGTTGAGAACAATGTTACCGTTGTATAGATTTACTCGAAGCAAAGAAAATTATTTAAATATTGAGATTTTTAAATAACAGCACGCAATATGTTGATGATGTTTAAGGGAGTTGAGGCGCAATTCACTTAACGATCAAAACCTTTCAAAAAAAAAATTTATATATATATATATATTGTAAAGAAACATTGCATGGATATTGTCATCAGATTTTAACACAATCGCGTCTACAGATTTGGAGAAAAAAGTTTATGAAGTTTCCCTTTTTCGTCGTCTTAAACATGGGTTCAAATGTAAGTTGTCAAACAAGTTGTAGAAAAGTACCCATTACGCTTGATGTAGTTAAGAGAATATTTAAAAAAACTGGTATGACATTTATGACAACTACATTGGTGCAAAGTTTCAACAAAATCGCGTCTGTAGTTATGGAGATATTTGCATGAACTTAAACAAATTTGTTTCCAACTTGGTATAGGCCTTATTGAGACTGTACTATAGTACTATATCATGAAAACCTCTAATTTCGAAAATTCATAGCACACTTTTATCAATAGAAGATTAGATTGACTATGCCGTTTACTCCTTATTTTTTATCTCCCATACAAAGAGTATTCACGCTGTTTGAGTTATACTATAAGAGTCTAGATCCCATGAAGAATATTCTGTTATATTTTTTAAGTCTATTATCAATACATTAATGAGTACTGTCAAGTTGAACACAAATATGTAATCATGCTGATATATAATTTTTATATTAATATAGTGAGTCTTTCAAAACAGTTCATGGATTTTTAAAAAATTGTAAAAGATGGTTTTTATGATTTCACCCTGGAATAATGCATATAAAAAAGATATAAACTGCAGCGTTTACATCACTATAAAGTACTTAAAAAGTCTTAAGCTAAAGAATAATAAATGTACACTCTAAATTCTGAAATGTAGTAATCATATTTAGAAGTATACGTATGTAAGAAACATGAAAAAGGTTTTCATATCTTTGAAAATTATAAAAAAATTTAGTTGGGCTTATAACTTATTACATTATTCTCTTCATGCAGGAACTTAAAACAACGCCATTTGTAGGGGGAACGATGTCGATACTAACCAACTACAATACACAGCATCTTATAGATAATGATATATTACAAGTGTTTATTTCAACAATAATATATATTTAACAACTAAAATAAGTTTTTTCAGTCCCTATGTATCATATGAACAGCAAATAAAACTTTTTTTTATAATTTTATGATAAATAAGTCAATTTCTCGTATGAAATCAGTATAATGTATGAGTAAGCATAATAAATATTACTTTCTAATAAGCTAATGGAAAAATAATCCACGAAATGAATTTGTATTCGAGAAAAACTACAATACACACTCACGAAATATAAGCGTATGAGGAGAAAAAAAATTTGTTTCTTAATGCACTCTTAAATAGGTATTTTTTGACTCGAAAGTAAACTCAACCCTTAAAGAAATTACGTCAGTTGTGTAAAGTACATTATTGTTGAGATATACGCTTGTAACATATCATTGTCTATAAGATTCTGTCTATTCTTGTTAGTTAGTATCGAAAACTTTTCCTCTGCAGGTGGCGTGTTTCAAGTTGCTACACGAAGCGAATTATGAAACACAATATCTCTTAATTTTAAATGCTTTTTTTACTTCTCTTCGTACTTTTTTAATTTTCTTAAAAACAATCTTCTATTGACTTTAAAAAGATGTATATTTATTCAAGAATGAAGATAGTACACATAGTAGAATCGAAAATATGGATGCAGAAAGTATTTCATCAGAAGGAAGCGTTGGAAAGGCTTTCTGCGGTAACAGTCAACCAGTTGTACGAGAACTGCTTTGGGAAAAAGAGAATATCGCTTTGGCCTTAGAAAACTTACCAGCTGGTAAAGCGGCACTAACTACTTTACCGACTGTGGACAGAAATCAATTATCTAGTGTTATTGAGAGAATAAAATACAAAAATTTTCCTCCAAAGGTCGATTCATTAGAATTAATACCAAAATTTGCTAATGGGTATGTAAAATAAAAAAATATTTTCTATAGCATTACTTCGGTCATCAGTTTTGATCAATAATACATATTTAAAACCTCGTTTTTGATATGAACATATAATACGAACAACTTGTGAAATTGTGAGATATTTAAGGATTTATAGGTTACAGCAGGGATAAGCTTCAGTTTGTGAAATGCAACTTTCATTTCAAAGGTACAAAATTAGAGATATGCAACAAATCCAATTGCATTTACAATATCGCTTCAATAATTTCTTATGTCTAGCTTTAAAAGCATCAAGAAGAACCTCTTTGTTATTTTTTTTTCAGACACCATTGATCGTGTATGATACCATGTATCACATATGGTCAATTGATGAGAAATTTCTAAGAAAAAACTAATTTTCAAACATAAAAAAAGAAAATTATATATACTTACAAATAAGTATTTTGATTGACAATCCTTTCAGGTGTTTTTGAAAAATGAAACTTCAATCTCAACGCTTTACTCGTCTCATTTTAATTATTTTTTCTTCAAACCAACAAACCAAACAACAACGTTTTCATTCATTTATACTTGTACGATAAAAATATATTTTGAAACAAACTTTTTAGTGGGAATAGTTGTTAACTGTTGGCACATCCACGCTTTTCGAGTCTTCGGCACTTTACGAAGTCGCGTGACTTTTTTGAGTATTTCGCACTCATTTAAAATATTTGTAAATTTTTCAAAAATATTCATGGTTTTTTTTGTACACTTCTGAACTTACTTGAAACGTCTTCAGCACAAAATTTCAGAGATATTTATAAAAACGTTTACAAAGTCGTGAGACGCTCTAATATTCTAAATACATGGAAGACAAGTGAGCGCCATCTGCTGTCAGCTTATCTTTTCAAGTGGCACGATGGCTTTTCCCAAAATCACTTTTAAAGTTACAATCTGAAACTTGGTGTAGTCCTTTACGAAATCTTGTACTTTGATATTATACCATTAAAATTTTTATTTTCAAAAATTCATGACACACTTTTATCGCAAACATATTATTCGTGTATCATTGAGTACTGATGAGTTAAACCTCCTTAAGCTAGATGGTAACGCATCTTTTATTTTTGTGAGCTTTACGCGTGATTTAGAGGTTATCATGACAATCAGACTAAGTTATTAATTTATTAAAACAGAGCTTTAGACAGGCTAGACGGTATGTTTTGAGCTGTAATGGTCACAATGTTTTATAGCACCACATGCACCAATCTTTGCTGAGGATAGAGTTGACAAATGATGAGATAATCAAATTAATTACAATAAAAATAATTGTCTGAAATATACAGGGAACATCAAGTTTTTAAAGTTTTGTGCAAGGGCCATTTTTCTTAAATCTGTATCTTTCCATCTATGATTCAAATATAAAACACCTCTCTGCGGTTTGTGGTGTGTGGTTTATAAATCTTTAAAAAAACGAGGTTATTATTTAAATAGATGACATTTAAATTTTTTAAAGTACTCCTTTACAGCAATATTGATAATTATGAGACAAAAGTATCGATCGTAATATTATATCAATAATTTCAGTTGTTTACGAAAAGATTCATTCATAGCAGAAAATGAAGAAGCTCTAGCCTCCACACCAGATGAACTACTGATGAAATGGCCAAATACATGTCTTTTGGTCTCTTGCTGGTTTGGACAAATTGATATTGTTAAGCTTCTTCTGCAGAAAGGTGCGCAAGTCAGTTATTGTGACTGTGATGGTAGGTACGTAAGTATAAGATCAGTACTATTTAAAAAGGTAGTGCTTAAATGGAAAAAAAAATTATCATAACTACAAAATACTCTTTATTGTAATAACTATTATGAAATTAGGAAGACATGCGTCATACAAAAATGTACCTCGAGATTTTTTGCAAATGCAATCAAAAATTACAATAGTTATCTAAAAGTATAATTAAGAGATCTTTTTTTGCAATAAAAGTAAAATTTTTCTTTTCATCATCAAAATATTCAATAGCAAAAAGACCATTGGAGTAGATAGTACAGACACACAGATAAGTAGCTGTCTACTGCGCAAGGCGTATTTAATATAAACTTTCTTATCACCAAGAGATCGTTAACAGTAGCGGTGCTAGCTACAGTTCGTCACTGCAAACAGTCTCTACTTAAGCTCAAAAGTTTTGAGTAGGTGTTTTTAAGTATGGCCAATGTTTTTTGGATTTTGAATGGATTGTAACTTTAACAAAAAGTCTTGCAGTTAATTTTTGTCAAATATTTTTTTCTAAAATTTACTGTTTTAAACGTGAAAAAATGAAAATGTACATAATTTTTACTCATGAACTTTATAAAAAATATTAATGAGTCTTCTTTGAACGGTTTCCTACTAGTACAATAAATTTTATCAAAATCTGAATGATAATTTTATAACTCATTTTATTTTATAAATCAACGTATTGTCTTAAAGATAGTCCGGAAAAAATTGAAGTTTCCTAACTTATCGATGAGGAGGATGTGATTTTTTAGCGCATAACGTTATACATTAAATAACTAGTTATTTCATGAGAAAAAGAGGAGTTGATGCACATTATTGACATTTCTAAGAATAAGTTAAGCCTAGACTCAATAAGATTCATTAAACATTGAATAAAAAAGCCGTAAATTCAGATGTAAAATGAACGACGCATAATTTGAATTTTCGCTTCATTTCCTTACACTGCAATGTATTGACTAAAATTAATTTTGAATTGTTCTATGGTGTTAAAATGATTCACTCTGATCCTTCTTTTGGCGTAAAAATGAACAGAATAAATTAATTACAGTAGATAAAATTAATTAGTTAAAGATCGGTAGAGTAGAAAACTGATAGCTCTAACGGAAACTAATTGAAAAAATTAACAAAAACAGATAATATTTTTAGAATAACCATTTTTTGATGCGAATTTTCTAAAAAAGATGAATTTTCACACATTCTGCTCTCAAGATAATATGAAGCCTGATTTTAGTGCGAGAAATCGTGACTTGGAAAAGAAATACGAAAATCAGATCATGCATCGGTTTTTGGACACCTGATTTTACGTTTCAATTTTTAATGAATCCTACCAAGTCTAGGCTCAAATTATTCTGAGAAATGTCAAGAATGTGCATTAACTCTTCTTTTCATAATATAACTAGTTTTTAAATGAATAATGTTGTAAGGCTGAAAAATTACATCTACCTCGTCGATAAGCTAGGAGACTTTCATTTTCTTGAGACTACCCGTATTTTAATCAAATTATTTTGTTAGTTAAAAAATTACTGTAGTATAACAGTTTTACAAAAAAAGTACTATACTTATGTTGAAAGCATCACTGCAGAATGTCGAAGCATTGAAGTGAAATCTACGAAGAATAATAGCAAAAATAAATGCAAAGAATACGATACCCCAACTTTATTTTGATTTAGATTGTAAAGATTAGCATTGTTTTCTCTTTTTAATGTACAAGAGAAAAGTAATGTCAGTCTTGAAGTATAATATATTAAAACTCATATTAAATGATAGCAAAAGAAATATAATTAATGAAAAGGAATTTTTTTATCAGAACATCGCTACACCTTGCAGCAAGCATAGGATCTGTGGAGATAGTGGAAGAAATACTTAAGTACAATGCAGATCCTAATACCTGTGAACTTAAAAAAAATTACACTCCACTGCACTGTGCAGCTGCAGCAGGTAATGCAGATACAGTTCGGTGTCTTCTCAAAGCTGGCGCAGATATTAATATTGGCTTATCAGGCAAAAGCCCATTGTATTATGCTGTCCAGAATGCTGGACAAAACAAAGACGTCAGCTGCGTTAGGATATTACTAGAAGCAGGTGCATCGCCTAACAATCCACAGGTAAAAACAAAATTTGTTGTTATTAGGTAATAACGTGACACAGTATTTTAAATACTAAATATGAGTAACAACAATCAGTTGATCTAATTTCCACGACCTATTTCTATTCAACATGGCTTTTTGACAAAAACAATTTAGTTATAAAATCGTGTTTTTTTTGCGATTTTTCCAAAATAGTTGCTTTTCCTGTTTGTTATTGTCATTATAGAATATCTTATTATGCAATTTTACAAAAATCTTTCAAGCCGAACCGTGACAGTGGATCTTCCTGTTCGGTGCTTCTCTTACGCTTAAACTGGACTGTAACACGCTGAAGGGTTCGAATGTAAGGGTGTGAAGAACTGTAACGCACGGAAGAGTGCGAAAGTTTGAATGTGTAGGGGTGTATGTGTGTGAATCTGCGAGCGTTGCGAGGATAGGCACCATCGCTAACGAAAAATACACTGGTGTACTCCTCTATCGTAAATAAACGAATTAGTGATATGTGAGAATGAGTACTACATATATATTTTATTTCATTACTTTGAATGTGTGATCCTAATCATTTTCCTCCAGAGCTACCAACTTCCCGATGGGCAATCCACAGCAGAACCTCCTCTAGGTTTAGAATCATCACCTTTAAAATGCCGTCACATGCAAAGTACGGAATTCACAATACGCAATACGGACTTTTCTAATAGCCAAAAAAAATAATTCTGTACTAAAAACTCTATGCACGTACAGACGGGTTTGTGTATAGAATAGGTTCATATAATACATCATATCACACCATATATTCTATGTATAGGGTGTACACGTTCATAACTTTTAGTATCCATCACAAAGTGTCAACAACGACTACTAATGTCTTTATTCGTGCTCATTTTCTTTTTTTTATTGCTGCTTTGAAATAAATCTTATGCAAGTTCTTTATTTACTTGGATGAGACTGTAGAAGTAGCCTTTTTGAAAGTATGAAGTGATTTTTTTATGGTCAGAAAGAATGTGTAAGAATTGCGTAAAACTCACGCTGTCCAGGCTACCAGGAAAAATATTAATAATTATTAGTAAAGAACTAAGCTTTATTTACTAATATCTTCCACATTTAAATCTTTCAAATATATACTTGTTTGCATTGACTCATGTAAGGTATTATTTCAACACATTAAACAACAAAAAACGTTTTAAAACGGCGCAAAAAGCGTTTTGTAACGTAAACGTTTATAATTTTGCGTCCAAAAATGGAATATTAATATAATGCAAGACATCAGTAAAAGCCGATTTTTATTGTTTCTTCGAAATTTATTGTATTCCATATCAAAACTGTAATTTTTTTATCCATTATAATCAAATCTAACTAATGCCCAAACATGCACTTAATACTTGTATTAGAATAATCGATGGTTAAAGTGGTCGTATTTGGGGTTTAATTTGATTGAATTTTTTTACGAGTACCCTTCGCATATCTAAAACCAATAGTTTGGCAATGCTTGGTTCATTCAAACTTGAGGTTCTGCCAAATCAGTGTATAGACACTACCCTGATATGGAAGTCATATTTACGTCGATTCATTTTTAATATATTTGGTACTTTCTGTACACTGCCCATGAAATAATTTACTTTTGGAAACTGGGGTTGAATAATAAAAAAACAAAAAAATTTTAACTAGATGTCTTTTAATTTGTTTTATCATACAATTGTTTACAGGTAGTTTAGAGGAGAAAAACTAATAACAATATTTTTTTTTTTTCTTAACTAGTAACAACCTGATTTTTTTTTTTACCTGAATACACGTATGGGCCAACTTTTTTTTTGTCCCGTTCGAGCACTTGGAGAATCCACAATGTTTAAAAAATTACACATTTCCTTGTAAAAGTCATCCTGGTTAAAAATTTCACCACTGAGTAATTCAATAGTAAAATCCTCGAGTGGATTATCATACACTGGGCACGTAAGACTATCAAAAAATGTATCCAGCAGCGATCGTTTCTCTTGATTGGGCCTGCTCATTGCTGTGATCCTGGTTGGAGGATAAGTTGCTGCTGGGGCGGTTACTTTTGCTGCTGCTTTTGAATTTGTTGCTCTTGTTAAAGCACATTTACTTGGCCACTATAGTTAGTGCAAATTGCTCTATGACTTTCGATGTTGCAATATAAAAAGAAAAAAAAAAAAAAAAATTGAAATTAAAATTAATGCTTATCTTTTTTTACATTTTTGAAGATAACTAATTGATATCGACATATAAAAAAGTTGTTACACACGAGTTGAAACCACAAACAATTTTTAGTACCAACTATTGTCGAGTTGTCGTCATTATTTCATGTTGAGAGTTAGCACATTGGGAAACATTCAAAATGACATCTTAGGAAGAATTTTATATAAATAAGATAACGTCATGAAATTTAGAGCAGAAAATGATCATGTAAATTGAAAGATTGTAACTTCAGTGCTTTTTTCTTTGGAGAAATTTATAAATTAAAGTAATAATAAAATATTGTTATAACTAGAGTTATAAGCAGCAACAAAAACATTATGGTGAACCTTGTCGGTCGAAGTTAAAGTAGCCATATCTCTAACCTACGCTCTAAATTTGAATCATTAAAAACTCATTAATGGCTCATTAACAATACATTTATTCTTACAGTGCAGCAACAGACAAATTATGGTGAACCTTGTCGGTCGAAGTTGAAGATACCATAGCTCTAGAGCTTGTCAGGTATGACATCTGCTCTGTAACTTCCAGTTGTTGTGTAGCTAAATCAGATAGACGCAAAGATGGTCGCTGCTGGATTCTAGAATCGTAGATTGGCTTTAAAGGCATCCACGATTGTTGTCCCTGTGGACAATTCGGAAACAATGGAGGCTGGACATGCAGGGATCTGTAGCTGCTCGCAGATTCTACTGGATTCAGCATATTATTAGCTACCCATGCTTTTTTAACGATGTTTTTCCTATTTTGTTTCTTCAATTTTATTCGGCGATTTTGAAATCAAATTGTCACTTGATTTTCCGTGAGATTCATCTCTTTTGCCAAACGTAATCGGCCAGCCAGGGACAAGTAATTATTCATGTTAAATACTCTTTCGAGCTCCACAATCTGCGCTGAGCTATACGACATCCTTTTTCGTTTTCTATTTAATTGGCCTCGAAAATATGAAGATACATATTATATTAGGTACATTTACGTATTAGGTACAGTGTATGACAACCCACTCGAGGATTTTACTATTGAATTACTCAGTGGTGAAATTTTTAACCAGGATGACTTTTACAAGGAAATGTGTAATTTTTTAAACATTGTGGATTCTCCAAGTGCTCGAACGGGACAAAAAAAAAGTTGGCCCATACGTNAGAAAAACCTCGAAGGTGCACGGCCGAGTAGAACGTGGCAAAGCTCAGTCGAGGTTTGTTGCGGGAAGCCATGACAAGCGCGCCCCCTCCTGCTGATTTAACCAAGATCGCTAAATCGGCGGAGGTCGAGGCTCTCGTAGGGGGCACCATAAGACGTGTCAAGGAGTGGTGTGACGCGTGTGTGCCCAAAAGAATCGCCAGGCGGAGCCGTCGTTTGTGCTTCTGGTGGATTGAAGAAATTTCCATCCTGCGCGGGGCGGCGCAGCGTCTACACCGTCTTGCACAGCGACACAAAAATCGTGAAGACGCAGAGGTGGCTGTTGACCGATGCTGGCACGAGCTTATTACTGAGGTGGATAAGGACACATAGTCTCCTGTCTCTTCCCGGAGTCTCCTGAAAGGAGGTGGGAGGGCATAAGTGTAGGCGAGGTGCCTCTATTATTTTACCCTCGACGAACTGAGGTCAGTGATCTCGGGGACACTGGGCCGCAAGGCCCCAGGTCTGGACTGGGTGCCGTCCGAAGTCCTTAAGATTAAAGCTGTAGAGAGGCCATATATTTTACTGGACATGTTCAATGCATGCCTGCACGTAGGACTATTTAGTGGGCGTTGGAAGATTCAAAGGCTTGTTCTTTTAAACAAAGGCAAACTACCCCCCCTGGTCCCGTCGTCATTCCAACCCTTAAGTATGTTGGACAATTGTGGGAAAATGCTCAAGCGGCTGATAAGATCTCGCTTAATTTTATTTAATTTTCTTAATTTTTACAATATCTGTAAAATCTGTACTGGTATAGTTGATGTAGTTAATGAAATTATGATGTATATAATTGTTACATGGCAAAATATACTTTTTACAACACAAGTTGTTGAATTTTTTTGCCAAGTTATTTTTGACTTTGTTAGTTACACTTTTTGCATTTATTATTTAAGAAACGTTCAAATACCTCATACGTATTAATTCCTAAATCAGAGATAAGTGATCTTTTTTAAAAGTGATATATTGTTTTTTCTAAAAATCATATAAGTTTCTTCTCAATTAGAAGTAAATAATGTGAAAGACGTGACATCATTTTATGATAAAAGTACAAAATATATTATTATTTTTAATAACACAGTATAGAAGTCAAAATTCTTTTAATACTCTTATCTCACTACTGTATGAAGCCAATTCTTAAAAACCTTAAAAAAAATTTTAGATTTTAAATCGTGTCAGCTAACGGCCCCAGAAAATGGTAACAATGGCCAAAAATTGCTTTTCGCGTCTAGAAAAAACTGAAGAACCGGACAAAAAAGTTACACTAGCGAATAAGACGCGCAATTTCAAGATCTCTTCAGTTTTTTAATCTTGCTAAGTAACTCTTGACGAGTACAATGCCATTTAACAAATGGCAATATATTGAAAAACTAGCCACGTCTAACTTTTTTGTGGAGGGTCCATTTTTTGCTTCTTGCAACGGATCGGAAAAAGTTTACAACCGATTATCTTTAAATTTGATATTGATGTTAAGGGACACAAAATCTACCTTGTATTCAATTTTGAAGTCACAATATTTAAAGGAACGCGAGCTATAGATTTTTTTAAAAACGATCCAAAGTAGCACTTTTTTTCCAAATCGCGAAAAACGGCTAAACCGACTTTATCCTACCAGAGCTCATTTTCTTTGTCTTGAAATTACGCATTTTTTTCACCAGTGTAACTTTTTTGTCCGGCTCTACAGTCTTTTTTTCTAGACGCGAAAAACCATTTCCAGCAATTGTTACCATAATTTTGGATTGTTAGCCGATACAATTTGAAGTCTAAAATTATTTAGATTTTTTCAGAAACCATCAAAATTTTTTTCTCGTTAGAAGCAATTTTCTGAGAATTACCATGCTTTTTTGCTGAATCCATCTTACTAAACCGCTCAAAAGTGGCCACAGATGACAGTTAGTGTACATTTTTAGACGTTTTAGACAATTTTTTTTTTCATCGCAAATTTTAAATACTGTCGTTTCAACGGTTATTTAATCTTTGCAACTGAACCAATGATCTGATTGTTAGCCATTACGAAAAATTTGGAGGTCTTTTGACTATCCACATGTTTTTCTATGGGATTTTTAAATAATTCTCAAAAGAAAAACTCTACAGTCAGAATAATACATTACGCTAAAAGGGACGAAAGTACAATATTACCTTCTGGGTGCGTGATTGCCTCCCAAGCAAAAGGCAAGGATGGCTAACACACAGATTATGGCAAAATACTTTTTTATAAGCAGAGAATGCGAGTTTTTACCTGGGAGGAATATTGCACTTTCACCTCTAAAATCAAGGAAGAAACGTTGTCAGTGCGGAGGGTATGGTAAAAAAGTACTTTTTCTGCATTCTAACCTTAAAATAGTACCTATACCGCTTGATTTTGGGTTTTCAGGCGGAAAAATAGTATACATAACTGGTTTGGAAAGGCTTCTTTACAAACTTCGTTACGGCCTTTGCCTTTGATTAGTGCCGTAAATAGAAGCGTTTGCAAGCTCGTACGTAATATACTATTAAGAGCCATAATTGGGTAACCATAACACTTTTTAAATAAATTCCGTTGTCCAAAATGATTTATTATGTATAGATACTACTAAGGACTTCCAAAAAAAGGCAAACTACTACTTAACTTTCTATTTAAAAACTAGGGATGAATTAAATCAGTTAACTTATACAAAAATCGAAAGAAATAATGGAAGTTTTATGCCTCTATGTTTGTACAAAAAAGATTAAAATAGTCTAATATTAATTGTCAGGAAACATTTTACATCGATATTAAATTTCTGTTAGGTGTACACGGAAACACCACTACACGTGGCAGCAAGCTTGGGTTTGGCGGAATGCATCGAGCTACTGCTAAAATATGGAGCCGATGTACGAGTACAATTTGGAAATGAGCGATCCACGCCTCTACACCTGGCAGCCGAGGAAGGGAATCTAGAGTGCACACGGCTTCTGCTTCAAGCCGGTGCTATTCCAGACGTTACCAATTCCCGGGGTCAGACAGCATTACATCTAGCAGCTCTATCGCAATCAGCTGAAACCCTAGATATTCTCATAGGAGCTGGAGCAAATGTCAATGCTGGAGACGACAACGGAAGGTCTCCACTGCACACAGCAGTTGCCAAGGCTGTCCGGGGTAGCGACTTGATTCGAATTTTGATTAGCGTTAGTACAACAAATTTATTGTTTGTCGCTGGCTGTACTTCGCAAACGCTTCCGTGGCTAATACAGTATATGAAAGTAGTAAACAGCGTTTTCGTGTAATATGGAAAATCATTTTTTATGCAAAGTATGCAAAATTAAGGGCGGTAATTAAATCAATTGAGCTCAAATTTAATATAACGCATTACGCATTCAAACATAAAAGTTCCATCCTACAATAGTACAAAATAATGGTACTGTTTATGATTGCAAAATGTACCTTTTTTTATTTAATATATGCAATAAATTGTACAAGACCTTGACGGCTTTAATCATTCCTCAAAATACTAGCTTAGTGGTCCTTCTCATCATTTTACGGCAAAACAGTTGTAAAATTTATAAACAATGTAAATTCATTAAAGTGGATCAATCGGTTGACTTGAAACTCTGAAATATACTCTGAGTACCTTTCAACCATAAAAAACTGATCAAATATTTACTATTCCGTGAGATATTTCAAAATATTAAAAGAAATGAAAGGTAACGCTCCAAAATCAAATAAGTGCGATGCTTTATTCTTAAACGTACTACACAGATATATCAAAGTATATCACTGAGCAACCCAATTCTTTAAATCAAAGAAAATTTCTTTACCCTCATTCCGTTAAATATTTTCTTATAATTAAAACAAATTTAGTCGATCCAAAAAAACATTTTCGTACAACTAAATGAGAAATTTATAATTAAAAAAAGAAAATTATATATACTTACAAATAAGTATTTTGATTGACAATCCTTTCAGGTGTTTTTGAAAAATGAAACTTCAATCTCAACGCTTTACTCGTCTCATTTTAATTATTTTTTCTTCAAACCAACAAACCAAACAACAACGTTTTCATTCATTTATACTTGTACGATAAAAANCATTTAGTTGTACGAAATGTTTTTTTGAATCGACTAAATTTGTTTCAATTAAAAGAAAATATTTAACGGAATGAGGGTAAAGAAATTTTCTTTGATTCAAAGAATTGGGTTGCTCAGTTATAACGTTTGAAGTAAAATATCATAAAAACAGCACCACTAGACTTTCCCAAATTCCAATATCACATATTTATTATGATTACAAGTAATACTTAAGTGTTTCAAGAGTTTCCTAATTATACATTATTTATACACAATTTATTACTAAAGCGATCGTAAAAATAGTGTGCTTTTCAGCGAAAGTCTCACAAAAATGTTTAAGGGAACCACCAATATTGCGAAATGATTTCTAGAGAACTATACCACTAGTCCCTCTGAAATTCGAGTGCGTTATAAATAAGACTAAAATTTTCTTACTTTGTTTTTTTAAAGAAATTATTCATGAAGTTCAATTTCGTCAACACCCCCTTAAAACAAGTTGTAACTCATTCACACATTTTTTTTCTCACAAGTATGTCTTCGATTTAATTGACTCCAACAATAAACACGGTATTATTACTGGCGTCAAAAGTTCATCGGTAGCAGTTTATTTTAATTGTACTCGCATTAGTATAAAAGTAACAACCATATCAATTTAACGCCAATTAACAGGACACGACAGGACACAGGCACGACAATTAACAGGACAATTAACATGTATAGCAGAAAATATTTCTCATAAAAAAGTTACAAACAAGAATATAAATGTAGTTACTAAAAAAACAGAATTTACTTATTTTATTTTGTTTATTTTCTTTCCTGATATAAAATATAGAAATAGCAGCAGTAGCAAAATAAAACACAATTTCATAATATTGGCTCTTTCCGTATTGCAGTCTATTTCGCGGCCTTAAGGAAGTTCCAGCGCTCAAGTGTCTAAACATATACTATTCAAAAGTTAAAATTACAGTAAATTCAGTGATTTATTTTTTTTATATCCGTTACTGGTTAAAATTTCAAGATATTTAAGCTTACTCTTTTAACATGCATTTTCATGGTAAACACAGTAAAATCAACGAATCAGAATTTCAAACAAAAGTTTGAATACATAATGAGTTAATAGGTATTAAAGATTAAAACTTCATCTTTCCAACACCATAGTCAAAAAATGGGTAGTCAGACTTTAAATTGAGAAAATTACAGAAGAAAGGACTGGGTACAAAAAATACTCTATACGACAGACGATTCGCACGCAGCAGACAACTTTTACCATACCATACTCAATCGTCACGCGGCGTACTCGCTCTGTGCACAAACGTCAAAAACTGAGCCTTCGACACCCAATTCGTATTTAAAATACATGTATTAGTCGACACTAGTGTGTCCACTATCATCAATTCATCTTCGATTATCTTGTTCAGGACTCTCAAAATCAGCGCAAATGGGGGGAACACGTAGAATTCTAAATCAGCCTAGCTTGTAGTGGACGGGTCCACCAGGCTGGCTCCTGCCAGGCTTCCATGCAAAGAATTTTTTGCAGTTCTCGTCCCACGGACTCGCGAAAAGGTCTACCTCCAGCATGCCTAACTCTCTTGTTACCGACCAAAATACTTTGTTGTTTGGACTCCATTCGGTATCCACGTTATTTATACGCAGAAGGTCGTCGGCTACTTTAGTGTCAGACAATGGACGTATTACACGAACAGTCAATTTCTCCGACTTTCAGCACATTGACAAATTTTTTGGGCCAGCTGATTGATATACGGATAGGCTACTCTCCCCTTTTTTTAACGTAGGAGGGTTGTCGTATTATCTCTGTGCATTACGTGCAATAAGACAGCGACTTCCTTGGCTCGATACGCAAGGGTTCTTAAAGTAAATTTCGCTGCAAACAGTTCTTTCCTATTTATTTGATAGCTAGGTGCCGTTGGGTTCTAACCTCGGTTCTAACGACCACACGCGTTACATAAACCGGCAGTAGCTCCCCAGCCTATATCTGACGCGTCTGTATGAAGCGTGATGTCGAACCTATGGGACGTAATATATTTTTTGGCTTTTGGTATCGCGTACAGCCATTATGTCAGGCCGGCTTTGGCTTACTCTGAAATAGTCATAGTAAATTTGTAATCTAAGTCATTACATTGCAGGGCTGTGAGTTTCTCTCTCTCTCTCTCTCTCGCTCTCTCTCTCTCTCTCTTACAGCCATGCCGTGTGTACAGGCCGTATTCGAATGCGGGTAACGTCACCATTGGTGATCCCAATAATTTTGTCAGATCTCTTATAATTAGTTTTTTTTTATTACAATTAATTACAAAGTTGACCTGATATTTTTAACCTGATATTT